AAAATGTGGCCCTTTAGATGTGGTTGGTCTACAATTTGAAGCAGTCCTAAACAGCCTCACCAACAGAGAGGAAAGCTGGGAACTGTAATACAACATCTGGAGAACCTTCTCACTCTGCAAGGGGAAGAAATACACACACACACACTACATTTTTCTTCCCCTTGTACACTGTATCTAGATAGATAGATAGATAGATAGATAGATAGATAGATAGATAACCAGTAAAAGATGGCTAGCATAGAAATCAGAGACTAAATTCTGCTCAACTCTGGTTCATAGGTTCTTCTGGCTTAACAAAAGCTTGTTGAAAGGTTGTTGCTTTTTCCCCCTTTCCACACTTATACAGCCTCCAGGCTTTCCTTTCCAAAGAGGCAGAACACAAAGCTCACCAACACCTTTGAAAAATCTATAGGGAATTGACTGATTCTTAACAACAGGTTTCCTAGAGTGGAATTAGCCTTAGGGCAAAACCAAGCATTTGAACTGAGCTAGGAAAACTACCAGTAATCAGCATGCTTTGTATGAAGTGTTACATGACCTCTTCAGCTGGTACTACTCAGCAGCCTAACTGCACCATGCTGGGATAGCTGCAATTTCTGGACACTTTTCAAAGGCAGCCCTATGCAAAGCTCAAGGGAGCAATCCAATCCAAAAGGTTGCCACCATAGAATATAGCTCAGACAGTAGAACATGGATGTTGTTGTTGCTGTGTACCTTCAAGTCATTTCTGACTTATGGCAACCCTAAGATGACCCTATCATGGCTAGCTTCTTCAGAGGGGGTTTTGATTGCCATCCTCTGAAGCTGAGAGAGTGTGTGACTTGCCCAAGGTCATCTGGTGGGTTTACATGGCCAAACCAGGATTTGATGCCTGGTCTCCAGAGTCCTAGTCCAATGTTCAAACTACTACACTGTGCAGGCTCTTATCATGGACCATGGATAGATCATGGATAGCCTTGCACAATTTGGGCAATGCTTGGGGAAGTGACTTTTTTGTCAACGGCTCCCAGAATCCCCTAGCCAGAGTGATACCCATAGTTTCAAAAAATAACATTTTCTAGTTCTCAAGCTGAGAACTGTGTACTAGCAAAAAGCAACATGGGAATGGATGCTGGATTGTGCAATGCCACTGTTACTTGGAGTTAACTCCTGTGCTTGCCAAGTAGATGTTCTCAATAGGGAAACTTCAGACGCTGCTTTTCCAGCCTTCTCCTTTCAAATCGGATAGCTGCCCCTTACCTCCCCCATCTTTTCTTGATCCTTTTCCATTGTTGTCTTGCTTCCAGATAAGTTCCCAGTCCTCTGACCATATTTTGCTATCCTTTTCAATGCTTTCTCATTCCCAGTGGGCATCTAATCAGAGATTGCACCATGACAATCATGTCCAAGGTCTCCATCTGTTCTCTTTGGCTGGATGCTATTTCAAAAGCTTTTCAACCCTGTGGGATTTCTTGAAAATGCCTGCCTTCAATGTGATGGCATCCAAACAGAGCAAATGGTAGCTACCAAGAGACACATTTCTTTCATTTCATCTGGATATTGTGACTACTTCATATCAGCAGCCACCACTTAGGAATATCTATCAGACAAGCAACAGACACAGATCCCTGGATCTTATCATTCATCTAGTCAAAGGAAAATTAACTCATGACATACTGGTACAAAGTGGGAGGTGTGGAGGGAGAGATTGGACAGGAACCAAAGGAAGGCTATACTGCATTCTGATCAATGTTAGCATGAAAAGAAATGGTACAACAGCACATATAAGACATTAGGGTGGCCTGATCAGTAGTTTTCAATCTCCAGATGGTGGGGTATGAGGGGTGAACCCTTTATTATCTGTTGCAAAATTATATGTGGGTGAGAGACAGACAAACAATATTTATTTCCTGTACTACTTTCTCAGTAAATATTATGTACAATTTTCTAAATAGGCCAATATTGCTAAAATGTATCCATCTATACTAATATAAGTGTGTCACAGCAGAGCTTGATCCATTAGGATAAATGGAGCAGTGCCCTCCTAAAGCTCAGCCTAATCTCCAGCCAGCTCACTCCATGACCCCAACCACTCCTCCTTTTGTCTGCCCATAGAATGGCAATAGATGACTGTTACAGAACACTATTTTTTGTGTGTATGTTGCAAAATTTATATTGAATTTTGTACCATGTTTTGCAAAATTTCAAGGTACAGAGCATACTCTTGTGACTAGTGTCTTTACAGAGTTAACAGCATATAACAAAGCTGCTTGTGGACATTCAGCTACTTAACTAGTAATGCTAAGCTAAATAAATATTGATTTTGAGAGGCAGTATGGTGTAGTGATTTGAGCACTGGACTCAGGAGACTAGGGCTTGAATTCCAGCTCAGCCAAAGAAACCCACTTAGGCAAGTCACACACTCTCATCCTCAGAGAAAGGCAAAGGGAAAACCCCCTCTGAATAAATATAACCAAGAAAAACTCATGATGGCTCCAAACAAACTGAAGGCACACAGCAACAACAAAATAAGTATCAACAAAAAGAAAAAATACTTTAAGTCATAGACATAATGGAAAGCTGGACTAGTGCAGTTTAGCCTTTCAATCACTTATGGCAGGAATCCAGAATAACAGTGACCAGTTAAAGATGTATGTCTGATTAATGGCCTGTCAAAAATATAGTTACAATCTTATATGATTGAATGAGCAATGGCCTTGTACAAAAGGCCAGTAAAATCTCATTTCCAGTTGATTGATAGATGACCTTGAATAAAATGGACGATTACAAGACTTTTCTAATTAGCTGAATACAAAAGCCTGGTTAAAATCTTCTCATTGGGGTGATGCCATTTATTCAGATAATCTGACAGTATTTCCATTGGACAGAAAGTATTTTAAAAATCTGCATGTGAGGTCCATAGAGAGAAGGTGATTCTATCCAATGGGAGTCTCTGGCCACACCAAAAATAAGATACCAAAAATAAGAAGAAC